TATATATATAATTTTTTTTTAGGGTACTGCAGGTACAATAGGATCTCATTGGTAAAGAACTATTATTTTTAATGAATTAATGACAGGATCTTAAGTTAATGTTTAAAGTTCTTTTTCTATATTCACAATTGCTGCTTTGTAAGACACAGGTTTTTATGCAGAAGTAAATGAAAACATGGCCGGTTAAATTTTTTGGGGAAAAGGAAAAGGTTGCGATTTTCTAGAAAATGTTTGCTATAGTAAAACTGAATACCCAGAATTTCCTAAAAATTTAGATGATCTTTTATGTTCATTTGAATATGAAGGATTCGCTCTATCTGAAACTAATAAATATGCAGACTAATGTAAAATAGTTTAGCCTGAAATAGAAGATTTATGTACAAATCCAAATGCTATATAAGATGATGAAGATTTAGAAATGGAAGAGGATAAATTATCTGATTATTCAACTCAAAGTAAATGTTTCTAATCTACTGCTGTAAAATCCTCATCTATGTATGAATATGATGTTTCTGTAAGATGTCATTAATATAAATGTTCCTCCGATTCGTCTGAAATATCTATTATTTTTCCAGATATTTAATTGTAAGTTTTATGTGGAACAGGGGATTAAGGGAAATAAAAGGATATTGATAAAACTCGCAAAAAAGCTAAAGGTAAAATCACATGTCCTTCAGATTATAATAGATTCTGTAATAATTCCCGTACATGTCCGAATTTCTGTTCTTAAAAAGGAGTCTGTGTAAACGGACATTGTATATGCTAATCTGGATATGGAGGGGAAAATTGTATTACAAAATGCTCCGGATTATTCATTGATGGAAAGTGTATATAATAAGGCTCTTGTCCTTCAGGTAAATTCAAGAACCCAGATAATACTTGCAAATCAGACTGTCCTTAAGGCCTATATGGAAAGGATGGTAATTGCGAACCATGCCATAGCAGTTGCTCTAGATGTACTGGACCATTACCTAATCAGTGTACTAAATGTTAGTTTTTGACATTATTGCAAGATAACTAGTGTGTGGAATAATGTGATGAGAAACAAGGATATAAACCTAATTATGATTTGCGTATATGCGAGTCTTAGATATCCACAAAATGTTAAGGTAATTGCTAAACTTGCGAGAAAATAAATTCTCCTTTATGTATCACTTGCAAATAAGGCTTTTATAAATAAGCTGATAAATCGTGCCAAAATACATGTGCTATAGGATCTAAGAGAACCCAAAATTCTAATGAATGTGTAAAACCTTTAGTTGGATGTCTTTAATAAAAAGATTCTAATACTTGTATTACATGTGATACTGCTAAACGATATAGATTAGGATCAGATAAATAATGTACGTTGTGCAAGGAAAATTGCTCATAATGTAATCCTAATAATCCATCTGAGTGTCTTGTTTGCGAGGGAGTTAACTTAAAAAGTCATGATAATAGTAGTTGTGTAAATTAATGCCCTGTTGCTAGTTTTTATTCTGATAATATTGGAAAATGCTAATAATGTCCTAAAAATTGTTAAAATTGTAATGATAATGGTTGCAAAAAATGTTAAAATGGTTACTATAAAGATTCAAAAACTAAAGCTTGTACTTAATGTCTTTCTAAATAAATTAATTGTCAAAATTGTGATGATCCCATCTGTTTATAATGTAATGATATTTAAAAAAAAAAATGCTTGCAAATTTCTGCTTAAGATGGAAATTTAGGAAGTGGAAATACTGTAATTAATGGAATTAATATAATAAAATGCCCGTCAGGATGTAAATAATGTAATTAATCTAAAGAATGCTTATAATGTAATTAAGGTTTAATTATTGATGATAAAACTAAAAAATGTGTTACATGTATTTAAAAATATAGTTAGTGTATAGCATGTACGGAAAATAAATGTACTTCTTGTTTTTCTGGACATACATATAATGAGAAATTAAAATAATGCACTAAAATCGATTCCTCTAGAAAATTATTATAAATTTAAGGCGATGATTAATAATAAAATAATTATTAAGTAGTCTTTGTTTTTTTTATTAGTTAGGTTATATTTGGATTATTATTGTGATGATTTTTAAACATAAAAATTAATGTTTATTCTATAATTAATTATTATAAATTTTATTTTTTTAGTATTAAATATATTTCATTGTTTTTTTTAATTCTTTTTTAAAATTTAAAATTATATATTGAAAATTGACATTAATAAATAATAATTTTATTTACAAAATACATTATTTAAACTTAAATTAATATTATTTATTAAAAATTGTATGGTGTGTATAAAAATTAATTATAATAATTAATATTTTTCAAATTATAAAATATGTATTATTTTATTACATTATTTTAATGTTTTAATAATTAAATATTATTTATTTCAATTTTAAGTTTTTTTTATTAATTTTATATACTTTTTACTTTAATGTATTAAAATTTTTTATTCAATTTTTTTTTATAAAAATCATATATTTTAAATATTTTTACTATTTTTTTTTATATTCTATAAATACTTTATTTTTAATAATTCTATTTTGTTTTTACTTATTTTTCAATTTTAATTAATAAATTAGAATATTATTAAAGAATAAATTACTATTATGAAAATCTTTTAGATTTTATATTTTTAAAACTTAAAATATAATATTGTCCATATTTCTATATTTTATTTAATTATTTTTTTATTTACATTATTCTTAATTAAATTTATTATGATAAAATTTTATAAAGAATTATCTTTATTTTGTTAATCTTAATAATTTTTTCTTAAGCAAATAATATAGTTTTAAATTTTTAATAATCCATTTTGTTATATAATATTTTAATTATTATTATATATATTATAAAAAAAAGAAATATTAATTAAAAATATATAAAAAAAAAATAATCTTATACATATGTATAAATTTAAATTTTTTATTATAAAAAAAAAATATATATTTATTTTTTATTTACAAAAATTGATTAAATCTATACATTTGATAATTAAATATACGTAAATTTATTAATAATCAATATATTAATATTAGGGTTAATATATAAATAATAATTTGTTATATATATAATATAATATAATAATTTTATATTAAATAATTATAATTTTTTATTTTTATAATATATTAAAAATAATTAATTAATAATTAATTATATATAATTAAAAATTTAATTTAATTTAAATTTATATAAAATATCAATTTTTTTAAATATTTGTTTTATAAAAATACAAGGATTAATTAAATGATATTTTAATAAATATATAAAATTTATATATATTTTATAATATTTAAAAATAATGAATTATAATCTTCGTAAGATATATTCTTTATAAATTATATGTATATGTTATTTCTATATCTCTTTTATTATTTTAAACATTCTTTATCTATATGACTAAATAATATATTAAAATTTATTTAATATCTATTATATCTATGAAAACTTTATAAATTCTTTTAATTAAAATTATAATTTTTTTTTTTATAAATTAATAAAAATAGAAAAATATTAAAAAAAAAAATTAAAATATAAGTTTAAATACTACTATATAAATACTATACGAAGCTGTAATCACAAAGCCAGAAACAATATTAAATAAAATAATAAAGTTTAACTCAATAAGTATTCAAAAAATTTAAAGGAAAGAAAAAAACTAAAAAATTCTTAATCACAAGAAAGAAAAAAATACTATAGAGACAAAAAAAATGATAAAAACAAAAAAAGACATACTTCAAAAAAATTAAGATAAATACGAGAAAATTATACTATCTAGAGATTAGATGATTAGCAATCAAATAGACCAGATTTAAACACTATTGTACAAAAGTAGAGCTGGATACATTATGAAAGTTGATATTATTTCTCATTTCATAGTAAATATTGATGAAAAATTAAAAAATAATTAAAAAATTATATATATGAATAAATTACAGATAAATATATATGTAAGTTTCATGTTTTTTGTAAATAACACATAAACATAATAAAATAGTATAATATATATATATATATATATATATATATTTTTTATATTTATGTTATATTTTCATATTTTTGACAATTAATATTTTTATTAATAACTTCAACTATATTTCTAGAATTTAAAAGATACCATTTTTTTCTTATTAAGTTTTTGTTTTAATAATTTTATTTTATAACATTCCCTATAAATTTTTTAGTATAATGTTCTATCTATAAAATATTACTTATGCTGAGAAAGTAAATAAATGTATAAATTCATTAATAGTTGTTTCCAAATCCTTCTGAAATGTTTTTTGGATCTTTCTCTAGTTTATTTATATTTTCTATGTAAAAATTAAATCTTCCGAATGTAGGTCTAGTTATTTCTTCATAAGCTATACCACAAATAACGGTATCTGTAACGTTTTTATTTTATCTTTATTAAAAACAATTATAAATAGAAATCGGAATTAGTAATTTCATTTGTGTAACCCTTTTCATTAATTTAAACTTCTAAACATTTTTTTGACCAACCAGATTGGAAAATGTTATACTTTTTTGATTGTATATACTTTCGAAATTTTAGTAATAAAAAGCTTTGTTTTTCCATAATTTCTATTAAGTATTCGTTTTATTATCAGGTTAATCCTTATTTTTTTATCTAAATTAGAATAATATATTGTTATTCTTATAGGCTTTGCCTCTCTTAATGTTTAAGGGATACTTTAGTCCTGGTATGATTTTTCATAATTCTCTTACATTTTATCATAGTGATCTTGTATGTATTTACTTTCTTGACTACATTGACGGCAATATAAGTACAAGTACCTAAATTAAGATCATAATTAAAATTAATTTTTAAACATATTTTATATTAATTTTCTTTTTAATATTTACATCTTATTTAAAATTTATAAATATTTTTATTTTTTATAAAAAATTTACAATTTAATTATATTTAAATTTAATTTACATTATAAATTTATATTATTTATATAATAAATAATTTTTTTTTTTTTAAAATATATATAAATTAATTTTATATGAAAAATTATTGAAACAAAAAATTAATATAAAATATAAATACAATAGCTATTTAAAACAATTAAATAATTTTTTTTTTTAGTATATTTTTAATTTTAGCTCCTTATATTTATTTAATTAAATATATTTTTTTATTATTATAAGAAAGATTGGTTTTATTTTTAATAGTTTATAAGAAATTATTAAGATTATATAGGGGGGGTATCTATGAGGGGGTGGTATATTTAAGGAATTATAGGAAGGGTTTGATATTTTAAATATAATTATATTTTTACAAAAGGTTTGCTTAATATTTTGTTTTTAATTCGTTAAAATTTTATTAGTATT